AATAAGTAAAGCTCTCACCTTTCCAGCTAGAGTTGAACAACATCTTTCACCCTTTAAATCAATGAATAGGCACAGTTAGAAGATTTTACTTTTCTTGTATTTATAAATTATGAAGATAATTTAATAAGTATATGGGAAAATAAATTACAAGTTGATAATGCAAATTATTAATAACTGAGTCGATTATTAATATTTATAAAAGAAGTGTTAAATAATTAGATGGGTACCTAAATATGAACTTTTACATGTCCTTGAGCCCTTGATGTGTGATATTTGTATTTGATTTTGGGGATGGGTTTTTGATATGTAAATCACTTAATAATAATGATAATTTTGTATTAGAAATTTCATCACATATGTCTTCCAATTAATATGTGTAGTACCCACAGTTTCAAGCCATTGCAATTCCACTATCAAATCTGAACTTCTCAAGTTAAGACCTTGCATACATCTTATGTGTGTATTACAAATCCTAGTATAATTGTTTTCCATTATGAATTTTTTCAAATCATAGCATTGTACATTAATATTTTTTTTATTTGGAAATTATACTTTGAAAAGTCTACCAGTTAATGAAAATACGTTGTTACTTCTTGCTTCCATATGTTGTTTTTATACCTGTCAAACGTCCATATTCATGTTAAACAATAATTCTTTTCTGTAAAGATTTTGGATAACAATAGACTTGCGTCTCCCGGTGAAATAATAAGAAATCTAGACATTTTTTCCCGAAATTATGCCCTGAAAATGTGAATGTTCCTATCAGTTCACATCCTTCAAATATGTGAGTTGCTATAATGTAATAAGATTTCATTGTGGTATTATGATATGGTAAGAATTCTCATTCTTTTTGCTTTTCTTTTCGGTAAATAAAGACCAAATAGACAAACCTACAAAGGTGCAGAAGGGGAAGCTGATGTTCTGGGTAGAGTCGCTTTATGCTCTGATAAGTGTAACAATTTATGCGTTAAGTTCATGATTTGCCATACTTGTAGGCCTGAGGTAACAATTATTATTATCATTATTAATATCACTATTATGAGTATTATCATTATCAAGGGATAATCACAAAAATGATCAGCATATGATGTGACATCAAACAAATTAACCACCTTTTTCAAGCATATCACAAAATGACCCACCATTTTGTAACGGGTTAATTGCGAAATTACTTTATACCGACAAGATATGAAATATATAATTGCAAAAAGCGATTTTATTTTATTTTTTATAATTTTTTTCTTGTGGCTGCAAAATTGGTAGTCGTTTTATACTATCGGTCAAAAAGGTAGTCAATTTTATTTAATTTCATATTACATAATGGTCATTTTTGTGATTATCCCTATTGTTATTGTTATTACAAAGTTTATTGTCAGTATTATTATTATTCTTATTAATTTATTATTATCAATCTCATTTTCATCATCATTATAATGTTTAATTATCATTGTTATTACAAGGGTAAAATGCACAAAATAACAACGTACTTTCGTTAATATGCTTGTTATAGCATCCAACTTTCATTTCTCTTTATTACACTATTGTACTTAGAAATCCCCGTTATTGCAATTCCATCAAAATACAAAACAATTTGTACTTCTCTAATTGGGTTGATGTTTCAAAGTATAACATCCTTATAAGAAAGAAACTTAAAATACAATGTTAGAATTGGATTGTTTTCAAATTGAATGGCTTAATAAGAAAAAAGTGCAAATACAATGTTGTAATATAGATAAGTGAAAATAGAATGCTATAATACACAAACAAGTGAAAGTATGTGGCGATATTGCTATTTCTTGCATTTAACCCTTATTATTATTATTATTATTATTATTATTATTATTATTATTATTAATAATAATACCAATAACACATTATTGTTGTTATTATTATTATTATTATTATTATTATTATTATTATTATTATTATTATGCTTTACGAACATATAAGAGTCACTGTTGTTTTCTTGTGTTCAAATTGCATTTCTTTCATTTCTCTTTGAATCGATTGTTTATTGAAATGCTTATTTGATTTAGGTTGCTAACAAATTTAGTAGTAGACATGGGCAGAAAGGTGTTTGTGGGACCATTATCCAACAAGAAGATTTTCCTTTATTGATTATGAACCCGCATGGGTTTCCAAGTTACCAAACCATTATTTTTTTTCTCTTAAATATTAAATTAAATTATGCATATGCAACATAATTCCATTACAACAACCTACTTTCTTCAAAATGGTAAACTATACATGTGTGTTTTTTCTCAAACTTATTGTAGAAAGTTAGGCGTTTAGTCCCAACTTTTTCTGTTTTCTCAATTTTTGCCAATTTTATAGTCGAATGACTGTTGGAAAGATGATAGAGCTTCTTGGAAGTAAGGCTGGAGTTTCATATGTGGAAAGTTTCATTATCGAAGTGCATTCGTTGAACCAAGTGGTGATGCACATAAAGTTAAAGATATAAGGTCCAACTTTTTGTTTCTTTCTTTCTTTCTTCGAGTAGCTAGTTGATAATTTTATTTATAATGACGCTTCTTCTTTTAACAGTGAAACCCTTGTGAAGCATGGATTTTGTTACAATGGGAAGGACTTTATGTATTCAGGTACTTATCTTTTATTGCACCTTCTATTAATGATAAATCAAGATTATCTTAGAACTCCATTTTGTCCCACAAATTATTATAGTGCGATTACTTCTTTCATGATTTGTTTGTTATAACACCTTTCTTTCATTTTGTCCTGTTATAGCATTTGTATTTTATATTCTATCCACATCGAAGCAATTTTGGATGATATAAATGCAAAGAATAATGTTAATAGAAAAATAAATAAATCAAAGTACAATGCTAAAATTAGGTAAAATATACAAACTAGATTGCCTTAATCAGAAACCACAATGTTGTAATAGAAAGCAATGGAAGTAGGATGGTATAAAGTATACACAAATATATAAAAGGTTGTTGCTATTTCTTGTATCGTAAAGTTCATGCAGTACAAGTCTATTGATATTTAAATTTAGAAAGTAATTAAGATTTTAAAAATTGCATAAATACCCCTGAAGTTGGTGTATCATGGTCATTTTCAGGAACATATAACATCATAGAACTGTTAAAATACTTAATTATACATCAATATACATATTCTTTTACTGTGAAAACATTTTAATTTTGTCATTATAATTCAGGAATCACTGGTATGCCACTACCAGAAGCTAAAGCCTATGGTAAGAAAGAATTAAATCCTTTAATAATCTAACACACCGAGTTCCTTTCCCGTAAAGAGTGAATGCTCAAGTTTCCTGCGTTTAATCAACAAAGAATCGATTGGGCACACGATTGTAAGTGTTTTTGCTTCCAGACATCTATTACTTCCAAAATTTTCCCAAAATTAAGTTGCAATCTTGTAAAAAGTTTTTTTCCTGATGCTTATTTTGAAGGTTAAACTTTTTTCTATTTGTATCTCTTTTGCATACTTTGGATTTCTTGGTGTTAAAATGTTCTCAACCATTGGGAGTTTGATGTTATATGGACAATCTTGTTTTTGGATGTTTTTTGAATGATACTTTGGTAACTTTGATAGTTTTTGTATTATAATGTATGGTTATATCATTATTTGATGTTTTTTTAGTATAATAATTTGATGATTGTAGTATTTTTTTTCTTTTAGAATCATAATAAAAAATGATATTATAAGTTCGCGACGGATTAATGACAAAAAAAAAAAAAAAACCTATAATAATGCATGAATTTTGTGAGGGATTAGCTACGGAAAAGAAATCATGTCCAAAGTTTGCAACGAATCAGCCGGAAAAAGAACAAAATTAATTTATGAATTTAAAAATCATGTCCAAAGTTTGCAAAGGATCGGCCGGAAAAAGAACAAAATTAATTTATGAATTCTACGAGTGATTAGCTATTGAAAAAAAATCATGTCTAAAGTTTGCGATAGATCAGCAACGGAAAAAATAAATTAGTGTATGAACTTTGCAAGGGTGATGATAAAAAAAAAAAAAAAAAAAAAAAACTGATTAGGGTAATTTGCGACAGAACAGCAACGAAATGTCTTTAACATGAATAAAACCTACTTGGAAACATGAATAAAACCTACTTGGAAACAACATCCCTATCAATGCAAAAACGCACGTAACTGCTGTTGGTTCAGGCCCTGTTTCACACAACAAAAACAGAGTAAAAGAGTGAGAGAAGATGCAGGGCAATTTTTTTTGTGTTTTATTCCTATACATTGATCACTCGATTACAAGGATATTTATATAAGATACTTGCAACTAATTATCCTAGAAAGACTGCCTACTAACTCACTGTAGCCAAACGTGGCTATTTACTTGGTCATACTCCATTACTCCTAACAAAAAGACTGAAGTGCCCCTGAATAAAATACATGGCTTTGACCTGGTTTGGATTAACACCAACAACTGCATTCACGTATTTTTTTCATTAGCCTCCAGGTTGGAGATTATCAAGTTGTGGAAAGTGATCCACATTTGAACCCATAGCCGCTAATCAGACCAAGCATGAGGTCCCGACAGCTGTTGTAGGAGGAGCGGTAGATAGTAGCTGGTGGTTTCTGCAAGTGGCGGCAGAAGGTAAACCGTATTGCTGAGGTTTAAATTATGTCTATATATTTACTAAGTAAAAAACATAAATACAAATGTATACTGCAACAATTAGAATCACCCAATGGGCTTTGTCTATGTTAAATTATCATCAGATAACATTGTAGATCACATCCAAACAAAAAATAAAATATTGAATTACATTATAGAGAACTCAGTAACTTAGAAGAGCTTTTATAGCATTTATATCTTAAATGATCATCAGATTTACAGTAAACTATTGTAGAAATTGGGTATTGTAATTTAAAAAAAAAAAATTCAGAGTAAGTGACTTCAACTATTAATACATGTCTTTGTTCTCTTTTTTGGTGCACAGTCAACTTCATTTTGGTTTATTTATAAATTCTTTCCAGAATTCGCAGCAACAGATTTATTCCTCTAAAAACGACTCGCTGGTTAACCGTTTCGAATCTTTATTCCGCTGCCTGATCCTTGACATATTTAGAACCACCAACAAACCATATCTTGTCAAAGCCAAATCACAATAACTAACACAAACACAAACACCCCATCACAATCACATGATTGTATATATGTGTATACTTATAAAAAACAAACAGTTCCATCTACATCATCTTGGTCATCGTCATCGTCGTCTTCTAGGCCATACCTGCTAAAATGTTTAACCCTAAACTTCCACTCCCCTTTAACCGGATCATACTCCACAAATTCAGCCCCTTGATCTTCCGCTTTCTTCTTCAACAACTCTTTATACTTCTCAATCTTCGGGCCTTCAGTAAGTTGCTTCCCCGTTTTCTTTTCAAAACATTTTATATTCAAAAGTGTGACTTCAGCCGGTTTATTCAGCCCTTCTCCTATTGGCGGCTTTTTTGTTTCGTCCATGTAGACCATGACTTCGCGATTATTGAATTGAATCAGCGATTCCAATTCCAGCCTTCTAACGTCGGTTTCCCCCGGGAATTTGATGGATCCGTAATTGTGGTGGCCGACTGTGAAGTTGTGGACTCTGCCGCAGAAGCCAGGTTCGGCGCGTTCTTTGGCGGCGAGTTCTTGGATTCCGGGTTCGGTGTAGTAATCAGAGTGGCGGAGTTTGGGCATCAGAGCTTCAATGTCGGCTCCATGTTCCTTTAGGTTTCCGTCATTGTTGCTAATTCCTGGAGCGCGGCGATGGTCTTCGATCTTTTCAAGCAACTGTTTGGCTTTTGTTTTTCCCATATCAGTACCATGTTCTAGTAAATCGATCAGATTCTCCATGACTCCATGTACTTGAGCCTCGACCAAATAGTTTTGATTGTCAGAACAAAGTTCCACCAAAACTGCAGCTGCATTCTCTTTGTTGTTCGGGGAACCACTCCCAATAACCTCAACCAGAACACGCACAGCCTCAGCCTTACCTATAGCCAACTTCCCTTCCGGGTCGCTTGAGAGCATGGCAAGAATGGATAATGTTTCCACTTTCAACACACCCTGCGGTTTGGTAAGAATCTCGATCAAAACGGGGACTAATCCCGCCCTCACAGCCCTTCCTTTGTTACCCTGATCTAAACATAAATAAAGCAAAGCCGTTATTGCCTCCTTCTTGGCTTTCTGAGTACCTTGCCTCAACAGGAATAGGAGAGGTGGGATTGCTCCTTCATCACCAATGATTGACTTGTTGATGTCAATTACACATAGACTTGAAATGGTAGCCGCTGCGTTCTCACGCGCTTCCATGCTTCCTACGTTCAACACAAGAACGATCCCTGGAACAGCCCCGAAGGAGACTATGATTCCTTTGTTGTCTACAGAATTTGAGAATATAAGAATAGCGGCGATTGCCTCTTCCTGAGTCCGGGAATGCGAGATCGTAAGTTGGTGGGTGTAAATACGGATGGCGATGCGGTTATCCTCCATTATTTTTTCAAGGAGGCGGGTTTCATCAGCGGATAGGTCGTCAGGACCGGATCGTTTATCGAGTACACTTTGTATCTACAAAAATGCAAAAAAAAAAAAATAATGACATATAATACCACCTCAAATCTCCAATTTGAAAATGTGACCAAAATAATTTTAATTTTACCATGATATTACATGATTATTTGCCACCACAAAAAAGGTTAAGAATGTTGATCATGTTGTATCATCCAAAACAATTATCATTTTGCCTATGAAGCTAATTTTTCTTCAAAAGAGTTGATTGAGAGACTTACTTGAATAGTTAAGGCTTCCTCAATCCTGTCAATGACCTTGTCCATAGTAGGGCGTTCGACTAAGTTGAAACTAATGCACTCATATGCAATTTCTTGGAATATATCGAAAGAAATACTATCAATTTGATCTCTTATGTGGTGATCAATTATGTTGTGTGGTTCCTTCTTATAGTATCGTCGGACCGAATTCATGAGAAATTGCCACTCATTATCTCCGGTGCTCCTGTCATGATAAACCAACATTCCGCTTAGGATTTCAAAAAGTACCACGCCAAACGAATATACATCAGATTCTTTTCTGAGGATACGACTTTCATGGTAAGTAGGATCCAAGTAAAACTGGGTACCCGCAACCCTTGTATGGAGTTGGGTATCTGGCTGATTTCTGGGACCCAATTTTGACAAGCCAAAATCACAAACTTTTGCAACCAAATTTTCATCTAACAATATGTTAGAACTCTTGACGTCTCTGTGTATTACCCTGTTGTGCTCCCCAAGACCCGAGTGCAGGTAATTTAGTCCTCTTGCAGCCCCAATGCAAATCATGAGGCGTTGTATCCATGTTATGCAAAGCATCTTAGACGGGTCTTGTAGATGATGATCAAGGCTTCCATTTATGGCATACTCATAAACTATAATCATCTCTTCACCTTCATCACAATACCCAATGAAACAGATGATATTTTCGTGGTGGAATTTGGAAATCATCTCAAGCTCGTTGCGGAACTCATGCTCTCCTTGATGGCTATCCTTACTCAGGCGTTTGATAGCAACTGTGAGGTTTTTCCAGCGTTCAGAGAGTTGTCCTTTATAGACAGCACCAAATCCACCACGACCAATAAATCTTTGCTGACTGAAATTATCGGTGGCTCGCCTAATCTCCTCCAGTGGAATTAGATAATTTTGAAGGTTTACCCCTGAGGAGGACATTGTCTTTTGATATTGCTGAAGTTCTATGGATATGATAGTTTCTGGGTGTACAGATTAACAACGCAGAGACTGGGCAGTTCTTGGTGGTTCTTGGCGCACAGAGAGTGTCGCCAAAGTGACGATAGGAGGAGCAGTCGCAAATGCCAGTTTCTGTAGGTGGCGGCAGAAGGTAAACCGTATGAAAATATATACTCTCATCTAAGAAAGAAAACATAAATAAAAATCTATATACCAACGCGAAGAATCAGCCAACTGGCTTTTATCATATTTCTATGTTAAATTATGTTCAGATTAGAGTATAGATAGAAATAAAATATAATATTTTGAATGACATTATAGAGATGTGAATAACATTGTAGGACTTTTATCCCGTTTCTATGTTAAATTATCATGTGATTTAAATTATACTATTGTCCATGTTGGGTATTGTATTTTAATTATTTGTACAAAGCGACTTCAGTTATTAGTATATATTTCCATAAAAAATTATTAATTTATGTTTTTTTTTTGTTCACACTCCACTTCTTTTGGGATTTTCTTATAGATGTCTTTCCACAATTTACATGGGCATATTGCTCTTTCTTGTTGGCACAAAGGAAGGAGCACTCCATGTGATAGTGAGGTCTATTTACACATGGTTATCTTCTTCCATAAGGTAACAGGGGAACTAATATGTAATAGAATGTGTGAATGGGTTTTTCAGAATTTTTATTCAAAATAATGTTGCAAACTAATATATTTGTATAGTTCCAGATGGGCAGCATAAATGAATACATTATCTATTAACAAGTGTTCCCACAAATATTATAATTCAAAAAAAAACTTAACCCAATAAAGAAATTGCACAATTTAATGATACAATTCAAATATATAAATAATGTGCCAAAAAGTCAACGAGAGAGGTGCCTGCAAACAGCAAACAGCTACACCAAAATAAGGGGCCCAAAATAATGACCAGATTTATTTTAAATTATGTATGCAAGCTGTTATTTGTAATAATTTAAGGGAACCCGAAGCATTGACTTTAGGTACCAATTCTTTTTACTTCGTATAGAAGATAGTTATTTTGTTAATAATGTGGGGTACTTTTTGGGCACTATATTAATTTTTCCTTTTATATCTCGAAATGAAAAAATGTTTTATGACAAGATTTGCACCTTTGATTTTGAGATTTGTATGTGCTATAAAACAAAACATTAATAGCAGTAAGCCAGTGGGCTTTTAATCTCTATTCAAAGGTTTCATTTCATTTGGCAAATTGTCACTCAAGACTCTCACTATCAATATATAGTATTAGATGTATTAGCTAAGATTATATAAATTTAATTGTGTGCGTATGTGCAAAACGGAGGAAACGTAGTCTTTTCTTGGGCATAAAACTTGATTGTACTTCTTTCACCCCTACTACTTGTCTGATTACACTCCTAAAAAACACCAAAATGAAAGATAAGGTTTACAGATGTTACATTACTGCTAGGATCCTAAAAACATGATAAAAAACTTACAACAACATTAAATAGTTAACTGCTGCTAATTTGAGTGGCAACTGGTCTGAGGCCCATATGGACCAAAACTAACCTTAAGCTTAGATCTCTTGCGTCCTTCATTCCCATTTTCTGCTTGCAAGCATTAAATAAATATTTTGGAAGTGCTCTTGTGAAACTATCAACAAAATCAGATTTAATGCTTGCTTTTTAATAGGCATAAGGTTGGCTGCTAAAACAGATTTTTGACAGATTCTATAGTGCTGCTCACCAGGCCCATATGGTGCATCAAACATAATCCAAATCCAATCTCCATCATTTACTTTAAAGATGTACGTGTTGGGATTTCAGATCTCTCCGACCACATTTATCCTTTGATCCGGCCACTTTATGAAGACCGCACATTGCTGCCAAATTTCCAAAACATCTTCAAATGGCTTCGTTTTATTGTTTTACCCTGAATGTAGTTCCTGGAATTCAATCCTAGTTGCAAGGCCTTCCATGTGACTTTTATTAGTGCTCAATAATTTCATTACCCGCCTACATAAATCTGTACAAATTAAACTTAAATGAGTAAAATTGTCTCATACTAGCGATGTACGTAACAAAACGCACACTACTACAAAATAAGTTTAATGCAACCTTTCACTAGCAACCCTTTTAGAATTAGTTGTATTTGGTTATAAAGCAACTTTGTTCAACATAATGCTTGCACTAAAAGATTTGATGCTAGATTTTTCTTGAAAAGTTGCAATTTTTTGTGAAAACGACAAACTTTTGTTAGAAGGGTTGCATTGTTAAAATTTATAAGCAACCTTTATTTTTGAAGGTAGCATATAATTATATATTATTTTAATACAAATTTATTTACATTCTCCCACTATATAAAAGTTAGGGAATATTTCATATATATCCTTGCAAACACTAAGAATTACGTCTATATCCTCCCAAAGTTCAGAATTACATATATATCTTTCTTAACATAGTAAACTCTCATATATATATATATATATATATATATATATATATATATATATATATCCAATCCTATAATTTAATAAAATAATAATCAATTTAATATCAAAAAATATATTTAAAAATCATAAATACAAATAAATTTACCTAAATACCCTTTACATATTATATGCAAATTAAATCCAATTATTTTTTTCTAGAAATCATAAATCAATAAAAAAATGATTCCCTCGAACCTCGATCAATCCATCCCAGATCAACCTTTCTCCTCCCCAAAAAACTGAGCTCATCTCTCCCTCCTCCCATCTTCCAGTCTCCCTCACGGCCTCATCTTCTTCCCTCTTAGTCTTCTTTCCTCTTAGCACTCTACCGGCTACCACCACCGGCGAGCTACATCGCCGTCCTTCACGCCCTAAAAATTCCTAACCATTGTGACATCGGTCCACATTGCCCTTGTTCACGATAGAAAAATAGACATCCCCCCTCATCTTATCATTGATGGCCATCAATTGAAGTGTTAATCCTCAATTTCAAGTATGTGGGGGCATAAAGCCTCAATTTTAAGTATAAGTAGGTATTGAATTCATGTCTAATTTTGTATGTGTTATTCGCTTATAAATTAGGGATTTGTTGTCAATAAGCTAATATGCATAGACTGCTTATTATGGAATACGCCGACACATCGATTTACGATTTTGATAAGCCGGTATTTGGAATGTCCACGACTCTAAATTCTTCTGATACACTGAACATATTACACACCAGTGTTCAATTTTTTATTCCGGGTACTATAATTGGGTATATAATACTCAATTTGAAATCATCTTCTACAATGTTTGTTTTTGTAGTTCGTACCACTATTTCAGTTTACAATTTCTGCAATGTTTGTATGTACCACTCTAGCACTAACATGTATATATACCTATAGATACATACTAAATTTCATCATGCAAATATGTTTTGCACTTCTACTCTTCTCCTTTGTCATTCTACTTATTCTTCTTCATTTTTTGTTCTATTTTTATTTCACCGTATTAAAATTTAGAAGAAATATTGTTGGCCAAATCTTTGACTTTTTCTATGTTTTTCTTCTTGATATTGACTTACAAAAGCAAAAAAACTAGTGATGGATGCAAGTGAGAGATTGGATGGTTAATTTAGTCTCCATTTTCATTCAAAGTACACATTGGGTGGTTCATATATTCTTTTGCATCTTCAATTTGATGTAGTTACAATATAGATGTTTATTATTAGATTACTTGAATAATTATGCAAAATCTGAGGAAAATAATATTGATTTTTTTGTCAAATATGTTATAAAAAGGTAGTATGGACCCAAATCAATAATATCAATTTCCATAAATCTCTTTTTGGATGGGAATATATGTTTTCTACTAGTAAGTTAACAAGTATCTATAGCTCCCAAGAATGCAAATCTGATTATGCATCAAAGCATGGAGCCAAAGATGGTCTTTTTATCGTTACACTGGTATGGTTGGCCCATAGTGTAACAAAAAAAAGTAAGAAATTAAAAACACACTTGTAATACTATTTTATTTATACAATGGTATGGCTTTTCGATAGTGCAGATACAAATATTTATTTCGCATGTTTGGTGAGTCTAAACGAATCATTATACAGTGTTAAGAGTTTTGGAAAAAATTATTTGTCGAAGAAGGAACGGTGGACACCTTATATTGTTTTGGGTCTTGAGAACACCAAATATCCAAATGCAAATTGGAAATCAAGGAGCTCTGGTAACAAGGTAGCAAAAGGTATGTCATCTAACTAATCTTTGTAGTATGTGTGAAAAACCAAGAGTGGGTCATTTCTAGTGTGCTTACTATTCTTTAAAGTTTTCAAGGTGGTTTTGGTGATTTATGATTCCACTTGAGGCTTCCAGATATGGTTATATTTTAAAGTATAATTTATTGTTCAGAGTGTTTTATCCCATTGCATTTATAGGCTGTATATCTTTTATGAATTGATATACTTAGCTCACTATAAACAATGCTCTGATACCAATCTGTCACACCCCAAAATCGGAACGGTGGAAACGTTCTGGGGTGGATGACGTCATGTCAAGTATCACAAGACATGCATTATAGTAAATCAAGTACAACAAAACATTGCATTAATGAGTTTTACAAGGTTACATTACAACAATTTAAAGTAATACAAGTAATAGAATAAATACAACATGGTACAAAGCTATCTTCATCAACAGCTCCGGGGATGTACCTGTCTAATGCTAACCTGAGAATACAAGTTATTTGAAAAGCGAGTATCATCATTTTTACAAATGCTGGTGTGTTCATAAGCATTTAGTGACATTTCATTCAAATAACTTAATAAAGTGATAGTTTAAGAGATTTCAGTGTATTAGAGTTCCTTCCAGAAAATCCTATATTTTCTTTAATAAAAGCAACCTTCTACCAAGATTTGGTCAGTGTAATGTGGTAAGAAGAAGTTTCCCTTAATTGCTAATAATATCAAAATACTGAATTTGATTATTAAAGAAAGCAGAGGCATCAGGGAATA